CCTGTGTTGTTTTTTTTTTTTTTTTTTTTTTTTTTTTTGGGGGGAGCCACGAGCTCGGGCTCGTAGCTCGTCAATTTTTTTTTTTTTTTTTTTGGACGAGCCACGAGCCGGCTCGTGGCTGCTTGTCGAGCCGCTCGTCAATCAATTCATGGGTTCGGCTCGTTGCTCGAGCTTGTTTTTTACGAGCCCGAGCGGCTCGTGGCTCGTTTTAGGCGAGCCGAGCCGAGCTCACGAGCCCGCGAACTACTCGGGCCCATTGTCACCACTATCTAACAGTACTACTGGCTCAGCCTACAGAATACAACAGAAGGCTCTAAAACTCACCTGGAATCTTATTTATGGTAATTCTAGCTCGTTCTGCACGCTTTAGCTTTAAATGTGTGCCTCTTCCAGCACTGTAACAGTTCTCATCCTGATATTCAAAACAAGCAACTAGAACATTCTGAGAAAGACGATTCTCATGTCTAACGACAATACATTCTGTATAGTAAATATGTACATACATCTACAAGCTAGGCTAAATGTAAGGGAAAAAATATATTGTGAAGCTTTAAAACCTAAATGCACATTTTTATGATCCTACTATGTCGGAGCTTACTTGATTATAATTTTCAAGCCAATTTTCCTCATCACAAGCAGAAAGCCATCGGTATATCCTATCTGTTATTTCTTTACGGCTCAAAGCTTCATTTTTTGCCTTTCCTATTTGTGCTTCGATGTTTGCCAAGAGTTCGAAAGGACTCATAAGACCTGCAGAAGATATCATTCCAGTCTTGTCAAATTTCGCAAGAATTGTACTGGAAAGGAAGCCGGGCAGATCAACCGGTGGGAAAAGAGGAGTATCACTTGAGGAAAAGATTTCCTACCAGAGTCTATTAGAGTATTAGTTTTATCGGAAGCCATGCTTGAATCAGGTTGAATGTGGCTTTTATAGCATATATACTCTAACTCTGACCTCTTCTTCGTGACAAGTTCTTTCATCCTGCTTGCTTTTAGTTTAGTTAGCCTCTCAACCTCCACTGATACCTGCAAGAATAAAAATTATATTACACAACCTAGGATCTACTGGATGAAGGAGAGTAGGCAGGGTGTTATGATGATGCTTCCAAACCTGTTCAATAATCTCCATTGAAAGAGAACCAGGTTCCATAATTGCTGAATCTGTCAAGTCAAGAATGGAAGTAAACTTCAAGAACTTATCTTCTCTTCTTTTGTCGCATCCATTAAATTCCAGAGGTCAAAGAGTGACCTAGCAACATCTTTCAGCAGCAAACAATTATAGTTTGGTATGAAAATTCAAAGAGTTGCCAACACAGGATTATTAAAGGGCAGAATACCTTTTGATATCGAAATTTTTTCTCTGTTTTTAACCTCATGATGGACTGGTTTAGACCCTCTAATATGCTGTTGCTGATATTCCTGGACTGTTCCATGCTTGTTACATTCAAGCTAGGATGCACATCATTCACAGTTTTAGCGAAGTCCAAACCCAATACAGCACACAAGGAGTTCACTTCATTGACGTAATCCAAGACTTTCTGGAGGCGTTCAGACTGCAGATGATAAAATTTACACATCCTTTATGTTAATAACTTTAACTTATCAGTTATGTATGTTATAAATGCCTATATATTGAAGCTTTACATAGAAACGTTTCTAACATGTCATAGCAGATAGTTTCTTGTGATACATCTTCTTCAGATAAATGCAAATCGCTACTAATTAGCCCTCCTAATTTCTATGATTTACTCACTTCAACAAACCTCCGAATATAACAAGATGGGGTGTTTGTTGTCCCAGCCATTCTTAGTACCAAGCTAAAAGGTATGGACACTGACACGCATCACAAACACGACATAACACGGATGCTAGAAAAGTGATTTTTAAGACACATCAATATAAATTCTTTAAAATAATATATATATATATATAATTTTTTTTAATTTTTTTTTCTACCTCTTTTTTTTTGAAACAATAATCAACACACAATCATTCATAAGATAATATTACACGTAAACCAAAAACTTTTCTTTCTTTTTCAACAATACATTATTCAAAATAATAATAATAATAATAATAATAATAATAATATTCCAAAAATTATAATACCAAATAATAGGGGCCAAACGGGGGCTAAATTATAAAATTTAAACATAACTTCATTATTATAAAAAAATCAAAATAGAATTCTGACAATAGAAATAAAATAAAATACTAAAGCAATTTATCTTAAGTGTAAACTATGTATTTATCTATTATCTAAAAATACGTTTACTTTCTTTGAAATTGTTAATTAATAAATATTATTTGTTTTCAATAAGTGATTGATAATAAACTTTAACATCAATTATCAATAATAATGATTTTTGAAGGAGTTAAAACAAATGAAACTCTTCTTTTTCACGTGTCCAATACGTATCTGAAATTAAAAAAAATTAAAAAACATGTATTAGGTATGTATTAGAGCGTGTCCAATCATATCCAAGCTTGAATACCTGTCGGATATGGGTAAGCAATAAGTTTACACGTATACGTGCTTCTTAGACACCTCCCGAGGGGTACTTTTAATATTAGCCATGTCAAACAACCAATTTTCCACTTTAACCAAAAAAATTTAACATTCACCACAAAGGCCTATTCTTGTGTAAAAGACGAAAATACCCTTAAATGAGTTATTCAATTACAAAAATAGAAATCTGTTAAAAAGACCAAAATATCCTTAAGTTACAAATTAAAATCCAAACACCTCTTAATTGAGATTTGAAAACGAAGTCACTCTTTTTCATCAGTTTACTCTAACACGATAAAAACTCTTTCATTTTTCATCCACTTCAATCTCAAAATTTCATAAACTTATCAGTTATCAACCTTAACAAAAATATTTCATTAAATTTCAGCACTGTAATTCAGTAAGTATCTTTTCCTAGTATTTAATTTTGTTTTTATTGAAATCGTATATTTTTTTAAATAGTAGAGAAAATAATATTAGAATCGAAGTGAAGGCCGGCACCGATCGCCGGAACGAATTATGGTCCGTTACGGACCATACGAACCATTAAAATGGTTCGTAACGGACCACAATATGGACCGGACCAGGACCATGTGGTCCGGATCCGGACCCTAATTTTTCTTTTTTTTTTTTTTTAATTTTCTGAATCAATTTTAATTTTTATGTTAAAAAATGTAATTAAAAATGAAATAAATAATATATATGTTAAGATAATGAACGAAATTTAGAGATAGATTAAATAGAATTTTTTTTTTGACTTAAATATATGTTTAGTAATTAAATATACAAAATAAATAATAAATATATGTGTAATGATAAATATATGTTTAGTGAATTAATTATGGAAACAATTAATATAATTAATTAAAGAAATACTTAAATGAAAATATTAATATATTTTAATTCAAATAAATAATCAAAATAGAGTAATTAAACATGATATCAATAATATACATAATTAACGAAATATTTAAAGAATAAATGAAATTGAATAATAATTTTCTTACTTAACCAATTAAGATAATTAATTAAAGAAATAGTAAAATGAAAAATTGAATAAAATATTATTATATTTATTCAGATAAATAATTGAAATAGAATAATTAAATATGAAATGAATAATGTACATAATTAACGAAATATTTAAAAAATAAATTAAATTCAATAATAATTTCTTTACTTAGCCAATTAAGATAATTAATTAAAGAAATGATTAAATTACAAATCGAATTAAATATTATTATTTTTATTCAAATAAATAATCGAAATAGAATAATTAAATATGAAATGAATAATATGCATAATTAATGAAATATTGAAATAATAAATTAAATTGCATAATAATTTTCTTACTTATCGAATAAAGATAATTAATTAAAGAAATAGTGAAATGAAAATTTGAATTAAATATTATTATTTTTATTCAAATAAATAATCGAAATAGAATAATTAAATATGAAATGAATAAATACGTAATGAACGAAATATTTAAAGAATAAATTAAATTGAATATTTTTTTTACTTATCGAATTAAGATAATTAATTAAAGAAATAGTGAAATGAAAAATCGAATTAAATATTATTATTTTTATTCAAATAAATAATCGAAATAGAATAATTAAATATGAAATGAATAATATAGATAATTAACGAAATATTTAAAGAATAAATTAAATTGAATGACAATTTTCTTACTTAACTAATTAAGATAATTAATTAAAGAAATAGTGAAATGAAAAATCGAATTAAATATTAATTCAAATTATTCAAATAAATAATCGAATTAAATTTTCTTACTGATTCTTTTTTTTGTTACTAATTATGTTGTATAGTGTAAAAAAACTATGGAACACATTCAGAACAAAGAGCTTGAGTATATTTTTGATGATTACTATGATGTCACTGATAATTGTTTAATTCGTAATACAGGTATGGCAAAAGCATGTGTCCCAATCTGTTACTCCGGCGAATTTCAAAGGAAACAAAATGGTCAATGGGAATGGAAATGGACGAGTGAAGAAGAAGGGATTGCTGCTATTTCGATAACAAAAAATACATCGTTTATGAAAATGTACAATGAAATAGAGAACATGCTTAACGTCGATTCCTCTAAGTACGATATGGAATTGGGATTTTTATTTCAAAAGAATTCAACAATTTCGATTCCACCTTTAAAGGTTACTTCTGAAGTGCAAATAAAGCATGTAATTCAATTGAACCAAGGTCGAAAGACAACTCCTATTTGCGTAACTTTGTTGAAGAAAAATGTCCCCGAAAGTGAACATGAAGTGTTCGATGGAGAGGATCGTAACGAAAATAATTTTTGGGATACTGTTGAGATTGCTCGTGATGATGATGTGGTTATTCCTGGGACAGTTGCTACTCGCCATGATGTCACCGTTACACAAAGGATTTACGAGGAAGTTCAAGATAACGAGGATAAAAGGCCATTTACAAATCAGGATTTGATTGCTTTATCCAGACAGAGACATGAGTTTGGTGGGAGTTCACATGCTGGGCCGAGTACACGGTCTTCTAATTGTTCGCGTATAGTTCCTGATGATGAAGATTTATATGTCGATCAATTGTTTGACACGAAAAGAGATTTGCAAGAAGCTGTGCACCGAATTGTAATGAAACATAATTTTGAGTTTAAAGTAAAAAAATCAAACAAGTCTACATACACAATTATTTATATGGACAACAATTGCAGTTGGCGTTTGAGAGTGACAAAAATGGACACAAATGAGTTCTTTATAGTTCGCAAGTATGCGTGGGAACATACTTGTAAAGTGGATATTCGTCAAAATGATCACAGGCAAGCTCGATCATGATTTATTGGTCGACAGATAATGCACAAGTTTCAGGACCCACAGACGATTTACAGACCTACAGATATCATCAATGACATTCGTCGGGAGTATGGGGTAGTTACGAATTACCAGAAGACTTGGAAGGCAAAAGAATATGCATTGGAAGATTTAATGAGTTCGACAGAGGAGAGTTATGCCAAATTGGCCAGGTATTGCCACAACATGGTGAGAACTAATTCTGACTCGGCATTTTTTATTGAAACCGATGGGCAAAATCGCTTCAAGTATTTTTTATGGCTCTTGGACAATACATTAGAGGTTTTCGAAATGCGATGCGACCTCTAATTCTAGTTGATGGTACAGCCCTAAAAGCTAGATATGAAGAGAAGTTGATTATTGCTACATGTCAAGATGCCAAAATCCAAATTTACCCTCTTGCATTTGGCATTGTCGATGGAGAGACTGATCTAGCAATGCATTGGTTCTTCACGAAGTTGAGAGAAGTAATTGGGGACATCGAGAACCTTGCATTTGTGACTGACCGGGGGCAGTCAATAATAAATGGTATAGCCGAAGTTTTTCCGGAAGCACATCATGGTTATTGCATGTACCACATTCAGGGCAACTCGAAGACTAGGTACCGGGGCAGTGGCATCGTTGCATTATTTAGGAGAGCTACAGAAGTTTACAGCTTTGAAGAGTTTACGAAGTTCATGGGCGAAATAGAACATAAATCAGAAAGTGCATGAGAATATCTATCAAATATGGGGGTCGATCATTGGGCACGGTCATATTTTCCAGGACGTCGATACAACATGATGACATCGAATAATGTGGAGTCGCTCAATGCATTATTCAAGAAGGATCGAGAGTTATTGATTCTCGCAATGATTGAACATATTCGTAGCAAGTTGCAATAGTGATTTTATGACCGACGTGAGGAATCCCAGAATTGCACAAGTGTGCTAGCTCCGACACAGGAAGATCGACTATTCAAAACTTTGGAAGTGGCAAAAGCTTTATTTGTGGAACCACTAGATCAATTTCGCTTCTCCGTGAGATGTGGGCGTAATGTTGGATACATTGTAGACTTGAATGACAATACCTGCACGTGTAGACAATTTCAGTTGGAGAGTTTTCCACGTGCGCATGCTGTCGCAGTGGCTATGTATAGAGGATTTCCACCACACAGCTTATGCAGTCATTATTGCATGGCTGATTTTTGGAGAGCAGCGTATGCCAAAACTATATTTCCTCTACCAAATGAAGCCGAGTGGGAAGTTCCTAATTATATTGTAGCATTTAATAATTTGTTGCCACCGAAGTTCGAAGGCGTACTCCTGGTCGTAGACTGACGTCTAGAATACCATCTACAGGAGAGGTTCCACAATCGCGTAAGTGCGGAAGGTGCGGCGCTACAAGGCATACACGTCGATTTTGTACAAATCAAATCCCACTAAACAATGACTCAACGGATGTGTAGTATCTATATAAATTATATGTATTCTCTATTTGTAATATGCTTTTTCTATTCTCAATTTAAATCGGATGTAATTTTAATCACATTGTTTAATTACTCTTTTTAACAGCATATTTGAATAAAAAAATAGGTTAAGTATAATAAATGTATAATTGGTTAAGTTTTTTTAATTAATTATATTAATTGGTTAAGTAAAAAATTAATTATTTCATATTTAATTACTTATTTCGATTATTTATTTGAATAAAAATAATAGCACTTAGTTCGAGTTTTCGTTTAAATATTTCTTTCATTAATTATCTTCATTTGACACGTATATTTGATTATTCATATTCCTTTTAAATTATATTTCGTTAATTATCTTAGTGTGTATATTGTTTATTTAATATTTGATTGCTATATTTCGATTACTTATGTAAATGAAAATAATAATTATTCTATTTATTTTCTTTTAATACAATTGAGGCAACGATATATATTAACTGACAATATGGAGAGATTACAGACACAAAAACAATGTAAATTAAAATAATAATATTTTGTTAATTAAATATTTTAAAAAATTATTACATTACAACACGAATCATACTGAAGTAAAAAATATTTACATTTCAATAAAATAATATACAATGCACTAAGGATCACAGTTATATTCATACAAGTTGTAAGCTAATTTATGCCTCTACATATCAATCTAAGACTGATTTATTGTCTCAACATTGCGGTCAATGCTCAAAAACTCTATGTACTTTATTGCAAATAAGCCACAGTCGCCCCTGCAACCGAAGAAGAATATATAAGTTGGATAACATATAACTGAAAATTAAAAGGTAAAATTAAAAAGTTTTAAATCCTTACAATCTTTCTTGTTTTGCCGTCGTCATGTTTCGCACAATGGCTAATCTGTCATTTACTCGAATCATCGTCTGATTAGCCATCATGGGCACGATCACAGCCATTGGCTCCAGTATTTGCTCCAGTTGACTTTGTGTCAGACAGTTGTAATCAGAGTCGTACACATACATAGTGGAATTAGCAAATACGATTTTCACTGAAAAACAGTGTGAGTTCGCAATCACTGGAATGTACATATGTGTACAATTCGTCCACGGCTTTCCGCACCTCGGTTGTAGCCCAATCACCCACTCTACCGTATACTCGGGCATAACATATTCATTCCCCTTGCTTAGGAGCTTGTGATGCTCAATATTTACGATACGAACAAACTCAGAGCTCAGGATAACTCGACTAGGACTGTCATAAGATCTCAGGTATCTCTAAGCCCGATCGCGTAACAATTCAATAGCCAAGTCGATATACTGAAACAAAAAAAAAAACACCAACAAAAAAGATAGAGACGTTTAAGTAAATGAACCAAGAACTTCTATAAATATAATAAATGAAAACTCAAAAAACTTACATCATCGACGAGCCAAGCTGAGGTCGTCAGTACATCTTCGAACCACCTTTTAGCGTTGGGCACGATCATACAGCCAATGGTATAACTATCTCTGAAAAATGAAAAAAAGTTACGAAAAATACAAAAAAATAGTAGCAAAATCATAAAATACTTACTCGGACTTAAGGGATTTGAACCAATCATCGAACGCCTTCTGTCTAACTGGGTCGACGTCGCGAAAAAGATTGGGGATCGTCCCATCCACAAACTCCCTTCTCTTCGCCTCGGCCGTGTATGGGGAAACAATGTACTATGACGGCGATCTCGATCTCTAACTGACCATCAGCTCTGGCGCGTCATTAGCATGCTTCTTACCCTTCGGCACCTCCGTCGCCCCCTCCGACACGAATACTACATCATCATCCGTCATCTCTAGCGTCCTCTCGTCCTCCGCAACCCCCTCATCCCCCTCTACTACCACCTCTGGTGTCCCCTCCTCTACCTCCTCGGTCACCCCCTCTGGCACTCCTGTCTCTCCCTTTGGCACCCCTGTCCCTCCCTCCACCTCCTCTGTCATCCCGACCTCCTCCGGCACCTCCACCCCGGCCTCCTTCGGCACCTCCGACCCGACCTCCACCCCCTCCCTCCTGGGCTCCGGCACCGAATCAAAAAACTCATCGATTCCTACGGCCATTGCCCACCAATCTCGAGGAACACCAGTCTCCCCAACACTCCCTCTGACATAACCTCGGAAGCCTGCTACATCGCCCGAAGTGCTGCAACTTCAGTATAAAGCTCTCCTAAATCTCGTCGCAGCACTCCAATCTCATCTCGTAGTGCTACTACCTCTGTCGTAATATCCTGTCGCAGCACCCCTATCTCCTATCGCAGTGCTACTACCTCTGTCGTAATTTCACGTCGCATCGTTCCCAGCTCCTCTCTAATAATACCAGTTATGTGTGCAAAGAAATCATCTGAATGATGGGTCTAACTGGGTGCAGGCGATCCACGTGGAAGGTGGGTGAGTGGGTGCGGGAGACGGAGATCTCCTCGGAGAATGTGATAATGGTGGTAGAGGTGATGTCATCGGTAGAGCTGACAAAGATCTCATCGGTGGAGGTGAAGGAGATCTCCTACGTGGAAGTGCTCGTCGTTCTACTGGATGACGCTCCTATACAGAGAAGACAATTAATATTAATAATCCACACATGAATATTATAAATCAGATTAAATAATGATTTTAAATAAACGTACCCTATTTCTATTCGGAACGGACTCAAACACTGGATCGTTTTCAATAGGTTGAACATGTAATTCACGTACATACATTTGATCCTCCTCTTCCATCGAAACAACCAACTCAGTGTGAACTTCGAGCTGACATATCATATTTCAACATGTTAATGAGCATGTATCGAGCCGAGTTAATGTACGTACAACATAAATTGCAAATATATAATACTCACCTGAGGATTGTCGAGGATAGCTGTCAAATCTTTAGCCGATGGCTTCTCATGTGCTCGTCAATAAAGCATTCGTGGGTAGCTAGTCTCCCTTCTGATCGCCCATTTGCTACCCAAAGCAGGGATAGCTTCATATGCCCACAACTGCAACAATTACCAAAAAAAATAAAAATATATTATTTATACATTTAATAAAAAAGTTTAACACGCATTATGTTAAGCTGAATATTTACCTGCAAAGCCATGCAGAAGCCATATACATCATATTTGCGGCCGCCCCTCTTCGATTTTGGCATAGTATGTACCCTCCTGAATACGTGGAGAGTATCGGAGTAACATCTTCGACCCCATGGAAAGTTGTTGAAAGTATCGATATCATCAACAACATCCAATGAAAAAAGGTCAATCGACATCCTACGATGTCGACACCTCAATATACTTTCCAGTATATACACCAATCCTAGCTTAAGCTTGTCTAACATGTGATCGCATCTCCTAAATGCGTCCTCTAACTGTGGTGGTGTAACCGGCCCTTTACCTCCAAAATATAAATCTAATGACCTTTTATTTGGTATAATACGGGCTCTCGCTTCTTCTTCTCATATACATCTCAAACCTGTAATGAGGGCAAATTCAAGGATTGAGAATCTCGATACCTTCCCGTCCCCCATTGCAAAAAAAAGCTGATCGCCATCGACTGGTTTAAGCAGCCGGAGTAATAACGAATCAATAATCTGTCCAGAGAAATGCACGTCCTTCAACGGATAGAAGGACCATAAAAACGACAGATGGAGTATATCGATGTGCTCCTCATCCAATCCCTCAATCACGGTCGCATAACTGGAAAAGTTACAATACGTCGTAATTTTTCCCAAATGAGATCTCAGATCATTGTCCATATGATATTCCATCCTACAAAAATAATACATGTTAAAATCATATACAAGAAATTATAAATAAAAAATCGTATTTTCAAAATTAACCAATCAAATTTCATATTAATAAAGCAATAAATAGATTCCTCCAATCACATATTAAAACAGTTAAACAAAAAAAAAATTCTCACATATTTGATTATTTAATATTTTATTAAAAATTATATTTCGTTAATTATTAGAATGTATAAATTACTCATTTCATATTTAATTATTCTATTTCGATTATTTATTTGAATAAAAATAATAATATTTAATTCGAATTTTCATTTCACTGTTTCTTTAATTAATTATCTCAATTCGATAAGTAAGAAAATTATTATTCAATTTAATTTTTATTTAAATATTTTGTTAATTATGCATATTAATCATTTCATATTTAATGATTCTATTTCGATTATTTATTTCAATAAAAATAATAATATTTAATTCGATTTTTCATTTCACTATTGTTTAATTAATTATCTTAATTCGATAAGTAAAAAAAATATTATTCTATTTAATTTATTCTTTAACTATTTCGTTAATTAAGCATATTACTCATTTCATATTTGATTATTCTATTTCGATTATTTATTTCAATAAAAATAATACTATTTCATCCGATTTTTCATTTCACTATTTTTTTACTTAATTATCTTAATTCGATAAGTAAAATTTTTTTATTCTATTTAATTTATTCTTTAAATATTTCGTTAATTATGTATATTAATCATTTCATACTTAATTATTCTATTTCGATTATTTATTTGAATAAAAATAATAATATTTAATTCTATTTTTCATTCACTATTTCTTTAATTAATTATGTCAATTCGATAAGTAAGAAAATTATTATTCAATTTAATTCATTATTTAAATATTTTGTTAATTATGCATATTATTCATTTCATATTTAATGATTCTATTTCAATTATTTATTTCAATAAAAATAATAATATTTAATTCGATTTGTCATTTAACAATTTCTTTAATTAATTATCTTAATTGGTTAAGTAAGAAAATTATTATAATTTATTTTTTAAATATTTAGTTAATTATGTATATTATTCATTTCATATTTAATTATTCTATTTTG